GAAGAAAAAGAACTAGAAAAAATCACGAAATATCATGACCTGGCCATCGAAACTACACGGCTATGGATGAAGCATGTAACAGTGATACCCATTGTAATGTCCAAGAATTTTACAAGACACATCCACAAATTGCAGCTTCCTGCAATAACACCAGCAGAACTGCAAAAAACTGTGCTACTCGGAACATCTTATATTTTAAGAAGGTCCTTGGTTGATACTTAGGACGTTGGCAGCAAACAGTATCAACCATTAGCACCAGTCACTGGTATTTGCAATGCATTTTTGAATGTTCAGTTGGTTTCATGTTTAATAAATAAAGTATATAATAATAATAAAAACAATTTAATGTAACTCTTTATCCTGGTCTGATGATAGCAGTATAAAAAACAACTTGCAGAAATTGTTTGAAAATAGAGTCAAGAGCCAAGCGCCATCTAGTGCCGAAAGACAGTCTCTACACCTCCTAGCCCTTCTCTGTTTAGCCTTAGTTGGTGACTGGGCAAAGACTATGTATGCAGGTAGTCCTTGACTTATAACAGTTCATTTACTGACTACTTGAAATTTCATTGATACTGATAAAAATGACCTATGACAATTTTTCACACTTGCAACTGTTGCAGCATCCTCAGGGTCACATGATCAAAATTCAGACCCCTGGCAACTGATTCATCTTTATGACAGTCACAGTGTCCCGGGCTCATATGATCCCTTTTTGCAACCTCCTGACGAGCGAAATCCATGGGGAATCCAGATTCACTTCACAACCATGTTACTTACTTAGCAATTGCAGTGATTCACTTAACAACAGTGGCTAGAAAGATCGTAAAATGGGACAAAGCTCACTTAATAAGTGTCTTGCTTAGCAACAAAAATGTGGGGCTCAGTTGTGGTTGTAAGTCGAGGGCTATCTCTTATGGTTTAGAGAGGTCACCAGATTGGGAATAACTATATACACCCAACTCCTTCGTTAGTTGCAAGATGATGGGATCGTTGTAGCTGGAGGAGATTTTTTTGCTCTGGGCTGGGTTGGACCCCTCCCTCCAGTATGATGCCTGCACTTATGCTTATTTTCAATTGTTAGACAGACTAACTACGTTTATTTATTGTTAGTATTATTGATTATCACACAGTCATCCAGATGTTTAGACTGGGTTTGCCATTATTGTCTACCCATGAGCCTGGGATAGGCAAATCAGGATGTTTAACGGTGTTACGGATATCATTGCAGGATGGAAGCTGTTCCAAGTCAAGCTGCCTTCTGCAATTGACTGATGGAGAATTTGTCAATGCCGATGGTGTTCAAGTTGTTTTGGGATTGCACCCTATTATTATTATTATCATTATTATTATTATTATTATTATTATTATTATTATTATTATCATCATCATCATCATCATTATCATACAATTGTATCACAGCGGTCAGTTGTTTCGCTGGATTTGGCATTAATTACTAG